ACAAATAAGAAGACATTTTATAAAAATGAAAAATATGTCAAAATGACATTGACATTTCAAACCGGAAGTTGACCATAACTTCATTAATATTGAAGATAAATATGTCGTGTTTGTACTCATTTTAAAGGATTTTTAATGAAGATTACAAATATGTCAAAATTGAGGTTGACATTTTAAACCTGAAGTTAGTTTTCTTTTTTTTTGGTTAAAAATAAGCGTTCTTAAATTTTAACCTGTAAGTCTTCGTCCTTAATTTCATTTTACAACTTTTATAAACGTTAATTTTGTAAATTGGTAGCTAATAATCTGATTTGAAACTAATTAGACTTAAATTCTATATACAGTGCCGCACTTAATTATTGGCACAGCAATAGTTTTTCATTTCACGACTGTTTTAAACAAAATTAACAAATGGTCTTATGTGAAAATATTTTTTCTATATTGTTTAATTAATTAAATTAAATACTCTATGCAGTTATTTTTGTATAAAAATTTTTTATCACAAAATTATTGGCACAGTTAAAAAACGAACTATTTTAAAACTACTTTAAACTAAATTAGTATTTCGTGGGTAACCCTTTTTGTTTGATAACGCCTTGGCATGAAGCGAACCAAATTTTGGATTGTTTTTTGCTCAATATTGTACCACTCCTCTAACAATGCCTGTTTCAGCTCCAACCTTATTTTGCTCTCTGATTGTGTTGTTTTTTTCTGTTTTCGACCCATTTAACTACTTTAGTTGATAAAGATAAGATGGAATTCGGTTTAAAAATTAAATTAACTGTCAATAGGGGGAAATACAGACACACATTTAGGATATTTGACATTTTGGCTAAGCATATAATGTACGTTTGTACCAAATGTTAAGTGTGCCAATAATGTTGTGCCTATTTTGTTAATTTAATTTAAAACAGATTATTAAAAATAAATTTTTATACAAAAATAACTGCATAGGGCATTTAATTATTTAAACAATATAGGAAAAAAACTTTCACCTAATACAATTTGTTAATTTGATTGGCACTGTAAAATAAAAAGCAGTTTAAAAGTACAAAATCAAACACTAGATTATTTACTCCTCATTTTGACTCTAGTATTTGTGATTAAATTTATGCCACAACTTACAGAAACACTTCGCAGTGTTCTGTGATAAAAATAGATAGACACCAAGCAATTTTCAATCGTTTGAGCTTGTCTATTTTGAGAAGTTATATTTTTAGAGAGAGAAAACGAAAATCTCGTTTTTCTCAACATTGTTTATTTGTATCTTAGTCAAATGATGCATAACGCGGTCCAATTAATTATCAAACACGACGTCATCATTGCAAGTATGCAACCAACATCGCAAATCGCGTATTGCAATACCTCTACTGTGATGTTGGTTGCATACCTGCAAAGATGACGGATACGATAATTAATTATCGTAAAAATACACTGTTAATTTATGTTTAAACTAACCTAACTTCGGATTCCTTCTTATTAAATTGCAACTTAACCAATCCATCTGCGTTATCAGGCTGGGGGATCACAACATAACCTATTCCTTTAAATCGATAGAATGGATTTGACTGGTTATACTCGACGGGGGGTTGCGAAGCGTTGTAATAACCCTTTCCCGTCCCCCAACAAGCTTGTAACATATTCCACTTCTTTAAAATATCATCTCGTTCATCCCCGAAGACATTAATAGCGTAAAAACTTGCCAACGTTTGTTGCAATTTATTTTCCGCAGCCGAAACAACCCCAACCGTCGATGTTTGAGGTTTTAACCCGGTCGCAAATAAATTCCCGGTGCCAAAACCCCCGGGTTGAGTCCCAAACCCAAATCCCGTCGAAGCTGTCGTAGTCGTTGTAGCACCAAATCCACTAAAAAGTGAATTTGTCGTCGTCGTCGTCGCCCCAAACAACCCCCCTCCAAAACTACTCCCCGCACTTCCAAACAATCCCGTCCCAGTTCCCGCACTTGTAGTTGCAGCCCCAAACGAAGTCCCAAATAACGATGGGGTAGACGTTGATACCCCCCCAGCACCGAATAAACTCGGTGTCGAAGTGGTTGTGGCCCCAAATAACCCTCCCCCCGCAATTTGAGTGCTCCCCCCACTCCCAAACAATCCACCCCCCGACGTCGAAAATAATCCCCCCGAAGCGCTTGTTGCCGGAGCGCCGAAAAGGCTTGGTTTGGTTGTTTGGGCTGGAGTTCCGAATAAACTCGGAGTTGAAGTTGTCTGGGCGCCAAAAACTGTTCCAAAAGCTGGCGCGGAAGTTGCTGGAGTACCGAACGATGTTCCAAAAGTCGATGTTGGGGGAGCTCCAAATGTCGATCCGAAAGCGGGGGCGGAACTTGCGGGGGTTCCGAATGATGTGCCAAAAGCCGGAGCGGTGCTTGTTACGGTTGTACCAAAACTTGTTCCGAATGCGGGGGTTGTTGATGCGGCGGGGGCCCCGAAAGATGTACCAAATCCTCCGAAACCCGCTGATGATGTGGTTGGGGTACCAAAAGCACCTCCACCGAAACCGGTAGCTAAAAATAAATAAGTTTACAGCAAGATATTTGCATTTAAAGATAAAGATAACAATTGGACTGCGTTATGCATCACTTGACTAAGCGATAAATGAACAATGTTGATAACCATCAGAAGCACAGAATCCGCTTGGTCAGTCGTTTTACGATTATACAGGGTGTTTAATCACAAATACTTAAAATTTTGAAGAAAGTTATCTAGAGTTTGATTTTGTACTTTTCAACTGGTTTCTATTTTATATAGAATTTAAGTCTAACTAATTTTGGCCCTTGGCCATCTTCAGAGACTCTACAAATAGATTAACATCCCTCATCCTACCCATTTTACAAACAAGTTTCTTAATATTTCTTAAAAAAGATCACATATCAAAGTCGAAATCAGATTGTTAGTTACTAATTTACAAAATTTAAATTTAAAAAGTTGTAAAATGAAATTAAGGACGAAGTGTTACAAGTTTACAGGTTAAAATTTAAGAAAGCTCTTTTTTAACAAAAAAAATATTAAGAAAGTTGGGAAAAATTCAAGAATCATCATGTGGCTTAAAAATCGACGATTTTTTGTTAATCAATGTGAAATGACCCAAAAAACACTTTAAAAAGAAAAAGAAAGTGTTGAAAAGTGACTAACAGTAGATTAACTTCTATTATAATATGATAAATGATAACTTCAAGTTTAAAATGTCAACCTCAATTTTGACATATTTGTAATATTCATTAAAAATTTGTGAAAACTGCTACTGACTGGATACTAAATAAGATTTGTTCGAAAAATTTTTGGTTCAAACATTAATTATTAAGATAACCTCAAAAAAATATTATATATGTGATATATAGGTTGTTTCAGGTTTTTGTAGCAGGACTTTAACAGTCGATAGATCTTTTAAAATTAATACAAAAACTTCATATAAACATAGGTCGACAAACGCTTTGTTTCGGAGATACAGAGTGTTCAAATTAAATTTTTAAATTGATTTTTATTTAATATTACACGTGTATTTCAACCGATTATATTCAAATTTGCTATACGCAGGTTTTTTGGCATGAGAAATACGATTATGGAGTCCGTTTTACTATAGCCGGTAGATGGCGCTCTGTAACGTATTCTTTACGGATTAAAATAACAATAACTTTTCTGACAGTATACTTTTTGAATAAAAATTCTTATTCTCGGTACTTTTTTAAGCAAAAACGGTACTCTTATCAAAATGCGCTAAACTTGATCGTTTTCAAGATAATCCGCTTTTTATTATTCGATATAGAGCAATATTTTTAGAGGATTGTTAAAGATAGGTATAATCATGTTTGCTATTGAAACAAAGTAGGTAAGTTTACTAATGTTTTAGTTTATTGCATCAAGTGTCAAATCACCAGTAGTTGTTGATCAGTGTTAATTTTTTCCTAACTAAGAGTTAGCGGATATTCATTTTGTTTATGGGTTTACAAACGGAAATTCAGCAGAAGTAGCCCTAGAGTATAGGAGAAGATATCCATACAGCAGACGTCCGCATGCTTCTGTGTTTGTGAAAGTGCATAGACAATTAGTTGAACAAGGGTTAAATAATGACGGGTAGATCGTAATAATGACAAAGTTAAATTGCAAAGAAAGTTTAGAAGAAGAAGGTTTGTCATAGGTTTGTCGACCTATGTTTATATGAAGTTTTTGTGTTAATTTTAAAAGATCTATCGACTGTTAAAGTCCTGCTACAACAACCTGAAACACCCTGTATATCGGTATACAGCGCCATCTAGTAACCATATCAAAAAATTTTATTAAAATAATCGATTATAAATCATATTTTAAACAAATTTTTTCTGAAACAATTTTTGATTAAATTCAATTTTCTTTCATCGTACTGTTCACAGGGAAATCTAAAATTCTATAATTTCGATAATTCGACAAAAATTTTTGAACCAAAGTTGTTACTGACACGATTCTAAATAAGATTTGTTTGAAAAAATTTTTGATTCAAACAATAATTATTAGGATAACCTCAAAAAAATGTTGTATATATGATATATATCGGTATACAGCGCCATCTAGTAACCATATCAAACTTTTTTTTTAAATTATTGGTTTTTAATTCTTTTTTTAACCAATTTTTTTTTGAACCTTTTTTTGTTAAATTTGATTTTTTTTTTCTTGTTCTTTTTCCCGGGGAATTTTAAGTTTTTTTATTTTGGTTTTTTCAAAAAAAATGTTTTAACGAAAGTTGTTACAGGCTCGATTCTAAATAAGATTTGTTTGAAAAATTTTTTGATTCAAACATTAATTGTTAAGATAACCTCAAGAATATGTTATATATATGATATATATCGGTATACAGCGCCATCTGGTAATTATATCAAAATTTTTTATTAAAATTATCGATTATAAATCATATTCTAAACAAATTTTATCTGAAACAGTTTTTGATAAAATTGAATTTCTTTTTTATCGTACTATTCACAGGGAAATTTAAGATTCTATAATTTCGATTATTCGAAAAAAATGTTTTAAGGAAAGTTGTTACTGGCTCGATTCTAAATAAGATTTGTTAGAAAATTTTTTTGATTCAAACAATAATTATTAAGATAACTTCAAAAAAATGTTATATATATGATATATATCGGTATGCAGCGCCATCTAGTAACCATATCAACATTTTTTATTAAAATAATCGATTATAAATCATATTCTAAACAAATTTTATCTGAAACAATTTTTGATAAAATTGATTTTTTTTTCATCGTACTGTTCACAGGGAAATTTAAGATTCTATAATTTCGATTATTCGAAAAAAATGTTTTAACGACAGTTGTTACTGGCTCGATTTTAAATAAGATTTGTTCGAAAAACTTTTTGATTCAAACATTAATTATTCAGATAACCTCAAAAAAATGTTATACAGGGTGTACCAGGTATGAGTAGGAAAAATTTGAGGGGTTATAGGTCCCTTTTTTGTGAATAAAAAATTCTTACAACACAATGTCCCATTCCTTGCCATTCTTAAGATATGATACGATAAAGTTAAGGGTTTGAAAGTTTAAGTACTGTTGTATAAAGAATTATACTAAGCAGGGTTTGCTTATGTACAGGTGTCCCGAAATGACGTGTACAACGCAAGACCACAAGTACCTTGACTAAAAATATGATGATTTAACTCAACTTATCTATATATAAAATTACTTAGTTTAGCCGCTAGAGGGCGTTAAACATTCATGATGAATCAAAGATAAAACGCAAAACAAAAAATACGAATACCGCTGTCAAGTTTAAGTGACAAACTGTTTTTTTTTAATTAATTATACCTAGCCAACTATTAAAAAACGTTATTAGTGTTACCTTATATCACTCATTCGCGCTTGTGGAGATTTAGAAAATATTTTTTGTGGCTAAAGCGTTCACAAAACTGAAATTTTGTAAGAGAGAAAATAGTTTCTAAATTAAAGTAACTACTCAGAAAAAAGAATGGTAGTGTTTGTAATGGGGGTTAAAAAGATATGGATGCATAATTAATTGCGACAAAGTTTTTAAGTTTTTAATTACCTAACCTAATTTTTTTAATTACCTTGCAACATGGATAATCACAATATTCAAAGTTTTTAAGCACCCTATAATTTTCGAAATTAGAGTTTATTCCACAAATAGCTTTAATCTACTGATACAAACGCATGACCAAAAAATGAATAAAATCCATTGAGGATTTTCCGAGTTATTTAAAAAAATATATTATTTTGAAAGCCCTCTAGCGGCTAAACTAAGCAATTTTGTATATAGATAAGTTGAGTTAAATCATCATATTTTTGGTCAAGGTACTTGTGGTCTTGCGTTGTACACGTCAATTCCGGACAGCCTGTATATAGCTTTAATTTGACCCATAAAAATCATTTTTGAGATATTTTTAGAGGTTGTTTACTTTATACGAATAAATTTAGGTTTTAATGAATAAACGTGCTTATTGTATTAAAGACAACAAAATTACAAAACTAGAAACAAATTACAAATTGCAAAGCAAAGCCTGCTTAGTATAATTCATTAAACAGTAGTACTCAAGCGTGTGAACTCTTAACTTTATCGTATCATATCTTAAGAAGGACAAAGAATGGGACATTGTGTTATAAGAATTTTTTATTCAGAAAGAGGAGACCTATAACACCTTAAATTTTTTCTACTCATACTTGGTACACCTGAAAAATGTTTTAATGAAAGTTGTTATTGGCTCAATTCTAAATAAGATTTGTTTGAAAATTTTTTTGATTCAAACAATAATTATTACAATAATCTCAAAAAAATATTATATACAGGTAATTCAAATTCGACCCCACCATTGGGATCTCAGAAACCATAAGAGATACAGAAATGGTTAAATGGGGGCAAAGTTGCGTATTTTAGAGCTCATCATTTTTCAACAAAGTTTTTGGATCTAGCCGTTTTAGTTTTTAAAATATGATATATTAAACAAAAAAATGACTTTTCCGTTTTTTGCCTATAACTTCTTTATTTTTCGTTTTTTAGTGAATCTAAAAAAACATTCTTAAGGCAACATTTTATGAAAAATGTTATGGCACAACTAGAAATTTTCTCAGATGTTTCGTTTTCGTGAAACTATCATCAGGTTTATTTTTTCTTATGAACCCAATATTTGATTTTCACACCAAAAATTAGCATAATTAAATCTGATTTCAACGATATGTCACACAATGTATTTCATTTAAAAAAAAACATTGAAAACGAAAAATCAAGAAGTTGTAGGCAAAAAACGAGTCATTTTTTTGTTTTTCGGCCATATTTTAAAAACTAAAACGCTAGATCCAAAAACTTTGTTGAAAAATNAACATCAATTTTTCGAAAAAAATGTTTTAATGAAAGTTGTTACTGACTCGATTCTAAATAAGATTTATTCGAAAAAAATTTTAATTCAAACGATAATTATTAAGATAACCTAAAAAAATGTTATATATATGTATATATATCGGTATACAGCGCCATCTAGTAAACATATCAAATTTTTTTATTAAAATAATCGATTATAAATCATATTCTAAACAAATTTTATCTGAAACAATTTTTGATAAAATTGAATTTTTTTTCACCGTACTGTTCACAGGGAAATTTAAGATTCTATAATTTCGATTATTCGAAAAAAATGTTTTAATTAAAGTTGTTACTGGCTCGATTCTAAATAAGATTTGTTTGAAAAATTTTTTGATTCAAACATTAATTGTTAAGATAACCTCAAAGATATGTTATATATATGATATATATCGGTATACAGCGCCATGTAGTAACCATATCAAATTTTTTTATTAAAATAATCGATTATAAATCATATTCTAAAGAAATTTTATCTCAAACAATTTTTGATAAAAATTGGGAAACAAAAAAAAAGGGTTGAGGTTAGGAAACTCATTCAAATTTACATTCAATTATATTCAAATTTTGATATATCATTAATGGACCAAACTTAGAAAACGAGAATAGGGATGTAGCAGATGTGTCAAATGAAACATTATTATATGTTGAATGTGTTTCGTAACGTCAACCTTATACGACGAGACTCCTGACGATGGTCTAGGCCGAAACCGGTAGAGTTAATAAATTTATAAAATATATTGGAGTATAAACATTGTATATTTTTTAAAAAAACACAAATAAGTAGATGTTTATTACAAAATAAAATTTAATTGTTTCTTTTGTGTCTATCGCTACTTGATATTTGGACAAAAATAACATCGAGTGTAAAACCTTCATAGATATGCTACTAGATTAAAATGTTGGATTGCTTTTTGATGGGGAAAGAAATGAATTTTTAAGAAAAACAAAATACTATCGTAAAAAGAATATTTTTAGGATCACAATAAAAAAAAAAAAATTTGGCATTCCATTTAAAAAAAAAAGTTGACAGTCGCCATTTTGAAATAATTCGTCCAATTGAAAATATGATATCACCATCGTGTAGAGAATGTTCTAAAACATATTACTGCCAAATGTTTTGAAAGTAGTGTCTATAGTGTAGCTAAAAAAAATAAGGCGCTTACTCTGAAACAGGCTGTATAAAGGTATAGAGCGCCATCTAGTAACCATATTAAAATTTTTTATTAAAATAATCGATTATAAATCATATTCTAAACAAATTTTATCTTAAACAATTTGTGATAAAATTGATTTTTTTTGTCATACTGTTCAAAGGGAAATCTATGATTCTATAATTTCGATTATTCGAAAAAAATGTTTTAATGAAAGTTGTTACTGGCTCGATTCTAAATAAGATTTGTTTGAAAAACTTTTTGATTCAAACATTAATTGTTAAGATAACCTCAAAAATATGTTATATACATATATGATATATATCGGTATACAGCGCCACCTAGTAACCATATCAACATTTTTTATTAAAATAATCGATTATAAATCATATTCTAAACAAATTTTATCTGAAACAATTTTTGATCAAATTGAATTTTTTTTTCATCGTACTGTTCACAGGGAAATTTAAGATTCTATAATTTCGATTATTCGAAAAAAATGTTTTAATTAAAGTTGTTACTGGCTCGATTCTAAATAAGATTTGTTTGAAAAATTTTTTGATTCAAACATTAATTGTTAAGATAACCTCAAAAATATGTTATATATATGATATATATCGGTATACAGCGCCATCTAGTCACCATATCAAATTTTTTTATTAAAATAATCGATTATAAATCATATTCTAAACAAACTTTATCTGAAACAATTTTTGATAAAATTGAATTTTTTTTTCATCGTACTGTTCACAGGGAAATTTAAGATTCTATAATTTCGATTATTCGAAAAAAATGTTTTAATGAAAGTTGTTACTGGCTCGATTCTAAATAAGATTTGTTTGAAAAAAATTTTGATTCAAACATTAATTATTAAGATAATCTCAAAAAAATATTATATACAGGGTCATTCAAATTCGATTGGGATCTCAGAAACCATAAGAGATACAGAAATGGTTAAATGGGGCCAAAGTTGCGTATTTTAGAGCTCATCATTTTTCAACTAAGTTTTTGGATCTAGCCGTTTTAGTTTTTAAAATACGGCCGAAAAACAAAAAAATTACTTTTTCGTTTTTTGCCTATAACTTCTTTATTTTTCGTTTTTTAGTGAATCTGAAAAAACATTCTTAAGGCAACATTTTATGAAAAATGTCATGGCACAACTAGAAATTTTCTCAGATGTTTCGTTTTCGTGAAACTATCATCAGGTTTATTTTTTCTTATGAACCCAATATTTGATTTTCACACCAAAAATTATCATAACTAAACCTGATTTCAACGATATGTCACACAATGTATTTCATTTAAAAAAACATTGAATTATTCAAAAAAAAAAGAATAAACCTGATCATACTTTTAGGAAATCGAAACGTCGGAGAAAATTTCTAGTTCTAGGTCTAGTGTTAGTTCTAGTTTTAGTGCAATAAAAATATACAACATATTTAACAACGTATAACGTGATTAGCGCTTAGCTTTATCATTTAAAACAAATAGTAGTTTAGGTCTTTCTGTATTCTGCATTTTTTCTAAGATAAGTTACACCTTTACCTAACAGACAGCATGAAAATCTCTAAAAACGATAAAATTCGCTTAGTTAAGTGATGTATAACGCGGTCCAATTAAAACATCGTTATAACCAAACAAATAATAGAACAAGTTATTTTCTATTTTTAAAAGATAACAAATTCCTCGTTAATCTATTGCTTTATTGTTCACTATCAGTGTGGTTCTTAGAACTTAGAAGAAACTTCCTAGAATGTATTTTGTTAACATTGACATAATAAACGCGACAAATCAAAATGTTATCATCACACCGGAAAATGTGACCAATTTGAAAGAAGAAATCAATTCTTATAAAGTCGAGTACGCCCCCGAAGGAATCGTCTTTGGAAATGTGGTGTTTGGATTAACTTTTTTAATATGTATGGGTTTCCTTCTCGGATTATTACTAAACATAGGAGGTTATATCAGAGGATTGGAAGTCGACGAGCGTAGAAACGAAGCGATTTTAAGAAACTTGGAGAATAACTTTGTTTTGGTACATATGAACGTCCCCGTTGAATTTTCAAGAAATAACGTTGTAACTGTAACTTTTAATCACTAAGACTAATATCAACTAAAATATCAATTTAATTTACAACTTACGCTTTGCCGTTTGCCCAAAAGAAGATTGTCCGAAAGAAAATGCCATATTTTAACGTTTTTTAACTCGGTTAATAGTAAACATGTAAACATAACCTATAATAACATGTCAAACACTGAGTATAGTAATCTGTAATGTCAAATAAACTTCATTACCAACTTAAAAATTTTAAATGTTTCTTAAATTTTATTTATAAATTGAGATATTTGTTTAAATAAATACATATTGGGTTTTTATGTTGATCTTAAGATATTCATTCCATCTTTTCAGAATCGTATCTCATCTAAAAATCTTTCATCGATTTTAACAAAAAAGAAATCTACTTTATCTAAATGGTAATGACGTAATGACCATCATCAAGGTCAATGGCTTCGATTGATGATAAACCGCTTCAAAATCAAAAAATTAATGCCGAGTTTACCTTTTTGATTGAATTTTGGGAAACATTTGTGATTAGGTATCGTTAATTCAACTCCTACTTTATTTTAATGTTTGCTACATATGTATATCAAGTTTTACTTCAAACGTTTTTAACCGTATATATGAAGAATTCTTTTAGAAAAACTTAAAACAGTTTATAACTTTGACAGTAATAGTTTAAATTTCATTATGTCATACCTGGAGGGAAGGAATGAATGCGTAAACTGTGATTCTAAAGTCTCAAATCGCATTCTGGTACGTAGAGGGGTTCCACAGGGGTCAATTCTTGGGCCTCGGCTTTCTATTATTTATTAATGACCTACCCTATTATGTTGGAAACAATATTGAATGCTTTCTTTATGCTGATGATGCTACCCTGTTGATTCGTAGTCCATGCATTGATGATTTACACTGTATATCGGATAATGTGATGCGTAGAGTTCATGATTGGACTGTGGCAAATGAACTTTCTCTCAATAACTCTAAAACGGTACATATGTCACTTGGTCTTAGAGATCTTCCCCCTCAGAATCCCAGCGGCACTAAGTTTTTTGGCGTAATTGTAACTGCTTCAAAATTAAGTTTTGACGAGCATGCTCTAGCTGTGGGGGCCAGGGTGAGCAGAAACATTTACGCACTGAAACGTGTAGTTAATACGGTTCCTCCTGAAAATAACCTCCTGAAATAACCCGAATTAATACTCCAGCTAGTAGTCATATTTTTAAGCTCCTGCGTAGAGCTATCCGTGTGCTTGGTGGGGTCGGTTTTACGGAGAACTGCAAGCCGTTCTTCAAGAGGCTAAACATTTTAACTATTCCATCAGAATTTATATTGGAAGCAATTTTATATGCCAATAAGAATAAACAGTCCTATGATATCTCTTCTAATTTTCATCATTACGACACGAGAGTTTTTTTATTATACGGCGCTTTCTATTCTGTTGAGGAATTCCGAAACACAGAATGTTGTGTCTGAATTTTAATTGTAACTGCTTTCGTAACTATGTAATTTTTTGTCAATTTGTAATTATATAATACAAGTATTTTTTTGTTAATACTAACAAGGGAAGTATCAGAACTGTCCCTTACCGAGTTTGTTGAAATTTGGTACAGCGATAGTATGGCCAAAAATAAGGTTTACGTATTTTTTTATACGTGCTAATAAAGCCCCTGGGGCGAGTTATAAGGGTTGGAAATCGGGGCGAAATATATATATTCGCTTATAGGCTGAAGACGAAAATAGTTATCGAAATGTGGTAAATGTAAACTGATATTCATTTTCAAAGAGCTTTCCATTGATATATCACACATATATCTGAGGGCTTCAGGGGGTAAACTACCCCTAGTTTTTTGGAATATTTTAAAAACTACCCTGTCGATTTTGGTGATATTATGTATCCTTATATTACGTTTAAAAATATTAATGACGTGTTTTTTCTTATTTGCCTCTGACCATCCCCTGCAAAGTTACGAGGTACGGTAGATAACCTCTTTCCTTAAGAATAATGTGATAAACTGTTACACTTTTGAACAATATTTTGAAGAAAACCATTAATTAGATGTAAATTAAGATTTACGCAGTAAAATAAACC